ACAATTGCTACAGATCACTCTGAAAACCGTCTGGTGGTTTCTTATAAAGTCAAACGCATCTCATAGGACCCAGCAATCTCGCTTCTAATTATTTACCCGAGAGTAATGAAAACTTATATCCCCAGAAGAACCCGGGTAGCAGTTTTATTCGTAGTTGCCATAAACTGGGGCTTGCCCAAATTTCCATCAGCCAGTGAGTGGATGAACATCTTGAGGTAAGGGTATCTATGGATCGTATCCGGCATTAAAAAGGAACAAGCTATTGATTCATGGACCAACACAGATGATTCTGTAATGCGTCATGCTAAGGGAAAGGGCCAGATAGAGAAGGCTATATACTGTCTGATTCCATTCCTATGACAATCTTTAGAAGGCAAAACTAGGAGCAAGGGGGTAGATGAGAGGCTGCCAAGAGTGGGGCGGAGGAGTGATGGCAAGGGGCCAAGAGGGAAGCTTTTTGGTGATGAAACGGGTCTTTATCTTCCCTGACATCGTGGTAACACAACTGTCTACCTTCCCAAAACCCCATGTGATTTTTCCTGAAGGTAAAATAAATCCTGATAAACCCATCTTAAGAAACGTCCTTCGGGGAGTTTGGGGTATAGAGTCATTGGGATTCAAGCTACCTTGTGCAAAGGAGAGTTCCTAAGAAAAAATGGATTTCCGTGGAAATCTAAAACAAGAGCTGCAAGTTCCCGGGGCCCAGAGAGACGGAAGAGAGAGGGCATCTTTTTGGGGCGGCTATCAGCACCTCCCGTGACAAACTGAGCCCAGCGCAGCTGTTCCTCACCTGGTCTGACTGTTCCTCACTTCACACTCCCAGGTGCTGGCATTGATTGGCCCTATCCCTCTGCCCACTGGCAAATCCATGAATGGGAATCCTTGGACCAAGGGTCACCCTCCCTCCCCAAATCAATTGCTACTTAGGGACCATGGAAATCAGGGTTGTTGGGGAAACAATGGGAAATCGGGCTGGATGGACCCAGGAGGGAAAGCTCTCCCTCCCTCTCAATACCTTTGGGATAAAATAGAAACACCTGAGCATGACAATTAATCCCCTCTTACCTTTTCCAGCCTGGTCTCTTGTCATGTCTCCTGACACCCCCATGTCCTCCAGCCCTATCCCCCATATCGTATAACCAAGTTTGACTACCTGGTAGATTCTTTCTCGGCTTTGGTGAGGCACATGCCTCACCCTTCACTTAGTTCCCCCTTTGCAGAACTTAGCATCTTGGGCCCTCCAGGGCTCCACTGGGGCATTGCCACCACGGGGAAGCCTTCCCTGAATGCCACTAGGCTCCCCACCTCTGTGTGCAGGGGGAGGGGGCAGCCTGTATTCATTCCTCGGGTTTAGAGGAATCAAAGAAACACCGTGTTTGAAATATTGGTGTGCAAGCGGGTCCTGAGGGAGTCTGTCAAAAGTGCAGACTGATCCCAGAGGGGCAAACTCTATAGGGTGGGGGCTGGCCTAGGGGGTCGGCTGTGCAAACACGTGCCTCAGGGTTCTGTGGCAGGCATGGTGATTGTATTATGATTACAGATCAATCCCCACCCCATATAGGGCTTCCCCACTCCACCTGCACTTGGGTGCTCTCCTGCAGATGGGTAAACTGAGGCTCAGAGAGGCGAGGCCCCAGACGCCCCAGACCTGTCCATAATGCTGTTGACCACAGGTTTCCAGCTCTGACTGCCAGGGACATGCCTGCACGAAGCCCCCCCTCCCCCCAACCTCTGCACACAGCAGGGCCTCGCTGCCCGGCCTCACCCATGCGAGAAGTGAGGGCCACTTCTGGCCAGAGCATTTCACCGTCAAGGTGCCGCTCACCTCTTCTCTTTTCCTTTGCCAAGGCTGCTGGCTGCGTTGGAGATGGTGCCTGGGTCCCAGGGCCTATCATTCCTTTCGTCCATTCATTTGCTCTTTTGATACAGTCATTCGCGAGATACTATTTTGCAGTGATGACTTATTTCAAGGAGTGCCCGGCACTCCCCCTGCTGGGATGATACTAGCTAACAGCAAGGGGTTAGCCTTGTCCCCTGCTTATGGTCAGTGGAGGAGACAGTAACCAATTCCTTACTAATTATAATAGGAGTCTAGCGGATTCTCTGCTTTCAGCTGAAGGAGGCTTCTAGCACATGGTTGCATAACTGAATTCCTCACTGTCACGAAATCCTGTTTTTTGTCCTGACACCTCACTGCGGCAGTGAATTTCCCCTCAGCGAAGCTCTTGAACACAAAGCCACACAGCCTGGCCCCGGGTAGGCTGGGTTCTCTAGGGTAATTTATCCACTGCATGGCTGTATCCCACTGGGGGTTCCATCCTTCTGAAATGGAGCATGTGGCCAGGGAGCATTTGGAATTTGCAGCAGGAGAAGGCACTAAGGTGCAATCTGCCCACAGAATTGGCTCGGCTCGGGGGACAGCTGTAGCATCTAGAGCTGCAACAAGAGTGACGAGTTCATGAACTTGTATCATAAACTGATACTGAATGGGCCCTGCCCAGAAGGGAGAGGCATGCGTGGATGTCTACGCAGAGCTGGGAAATGTGGGGAATGAGGGCCTGTCCCAGGAATTCTAGGGATCGGTGTCAGCATGAAAACACTTGAGGACATTTATTTTGATCCCTTCTCAGTGAATAGTAATGTTTGAAAGCCCATCCATGTTGAGGCAGCTAAATTCGATACCTGACCCCAGACTGAAGTGTGTCTGGGAACGAGACACTATAAAGGACATTCTCAGATCCACCGGCAAAATTGGGATATGGACCTAGATTACACACAAGGATTTTACAGTGTAAATTTATGAATTTGGTACCTATGCTAGGGTTGGGTAAGATAATATCCCTACTTTAGGAAGGATGTATCAAACTACATAGGAGTAAAGGACTACGGTCTACGGAGCTTGCCTACAAATGATGCATAAGAAAAATACGCCTGTATATACAGGTGCTTTTTGAACATCTATAAAAGCCCCCTGACTATCAGGCTTTCTGAGTGGTGCAGGCATTCCTTGCTGAGCGGGGCTTTTGGCAAAGCTGTAAGATTCAAAGCTTAAAGACTTTTGAGAAGATGGCCCCAAATTGCGTTTTCTCTTTAATTTTCTCTCCACCCTTTGTCTACAACAGGAGTCCTTGTGTTTAGCTCCCTCGTATCATTTTCTCTAGATGTTCATCTTATGGTTTTCTGAGCTTGGAGCAAACCGTAGACGCTTTCAGGAGGCCTATTTCAGTAAGGGGAATGGATGACCTTTCATTGATACACTCCGTTCCAAGGTGGGAAAAGCAGGAGCTATAAAAAGTGCCATAAAGGGTTTTGGCATAATGCTTATTCTGCACTGACCACCTACTTGACCTTCAACAATTTATTCAACAATTTATTGATTCGGCTTCCTACTCTATACAGTGGGCATCTCCAAGAGGTCCAGAGTGGGGGCTCAATAAGACGATTAGTGAATGTTTGGCACAAAAATGTGTGCTCAGTAAAGGTAAATTATACTGTAGCTGTTTCCACAACATCAGGACCCAGAAAAAGATGTAATTATTGTTACTATCCTCTTTGTACTGTAATTTCAATTGGGGAGAGATGTTAATAACCGTATCGATGATAATGCTTTCCATTAACTCAGGGGTTCCCTCGTGCCAGTCACTCTGTGTAACAGCCATGACCTCACTGAACACCCAGGACGTGACCCTAGGGCAGGCGCATCAGCCCCTTTCAAAGATAAGGACACCGAGGCTTGGAGGCATTAAGAAAATATGTAGGGCGTCCCCACTCCACCCGCACTTGGGTGCTCTCCCGCCGATGGGTAAACTGAGGCTCAGAGAAGCCAGGCCCCAGACCTGGCTGGCTGTGGGCGGACACTGCAAACCCCGGTTCTCCTTTCCCGGACTGGGACCGCCAGCCTGCCACCGAGTCCGTCGGGTCCTTCTTCTGCGCCCGGGGTCGAGGACTTGGACTGCACGGTTAATGCTTAGAGTTTCAAAGAATTCGCTCCCAAATTGCCTTTGGGGACGGGTCCGACGTGTCCTTCGCTGGCGCCCCAGCTTGGGCGGCCGGGACCCCGCGCTCGGGGGTACCGGGGGTGGGGGTGGGGCAGGACGCGGGGTCCCGGCGCCGTAGCGCAGCGGCCCCGCCCCGCGGGTTCGGCCCCGGCGCCCCCCCGCGCCCTGCCCTGCGCCCAGGCCGCGGCCCCGCCCGCGCTGGCGGCCGCCGAGCGGTCCGGGCTGTGGCGGCGGCGGCGGCGGCGGCGGCGGCGGCGGCGGGAGGAGGAGCAGGAAAAGCGGCCGGGGGAGGAGGCGGCGGCGGCGGCGGCGGCGGCGGAGGCGGGCGGAGGCGGGCGGCGGCGGGCGGGGCCGCGCGAGTTTAAAGCCCAGCGAGGGGGTGGGGAGGCCGGGAGGAGGCAGGCAAGGGCGCGGGCGGCGGGCTCGGCTGGAGGCCGCGGAGCCCCGCGCGGAGCCCGAAGTTTGCGCGCAGCCCCGGGCGGCGGCGCGCGGGGGCCGGGACCGCCCTGCGCGCCGCCCGCGCCCGCCCCGGCCGCGCCGAGGGTCGCGGGCGGCCACGCGGAGGCGGCCGGGAGCGGCGCCGCGGCAGGTACGGAGCGGGGCGGGGAGCGCGGCGGCAAGTTACTTTGTGGTCGGCGCGGCCGGGCCCGGCGGGCGGGCGGGCGGGCGGGCGGTCCCCGCGCCGTCATTGTCTGCGCGCGGGCCGGCCGGCCGGGGGCGCCGGGCGCCGCGGGGGCGCGGCGGGCGGAAGGGCGTCGCCTCCGGGCCGGGGGCTGCGGCGGGGGGAGAGGGCTGTGCGCGCGGCGCTCGGGGCCGGCGGCGCCCTCCCGAGCCCTGGGGTCCGACGCCGGCCGCCCGCGGGCAGGGGCTGGGCCGGGGGGCTGCGTGCGCCGGGCCCTCAGGGCCGAGGCCGCGCTGCCGGGCCGCCCGAGGGTGGGCTGCGGGCGCCCCTGCAGCCCGGGTGCGCCCGGCGGCCGGGGCGGCGCGGCCGGGCTCTGCCCCAGCCGGAGCGCGGCCGGGCCGCGGAGTCTTTTTTGGGGGGGGGGGGGTTCCCCTCGTGGCCCCGTTACCCGCCGCCGGGGCCTAACACCAAGTTGTGGGCTCGCGGGTCAGCCGCCCGCCAGCCGTGGAAATGTGATAAGAGCCAGACCGTTCGCAGAAGGAAATTTCTGATGCAACTCTCCGCCGTCCCTGGTCGCCTCTCCAAACGCCTGCCTTGCCGCTGCCCTCGAGCATGTGCGTTATGGAAATTAGGGGTGTCCTCGACTTTTGATTGTGTTCGCCTTTTCTTGGGATTGGAAGAAACGCCGACTTTGTGTCATCTGCTCTGACCCAAACGGTGGGTAGCCACAGGTGACTCTGACCCGGTCCCGGATCTCCGCGACGCATTGGAAAGAAGGCTTTCCCTGCAAAGGTCGTAGCCACTTTCATTCAAGAGAGGTGCAGAGAAAAAGCCCAAACAAGTAGCGCTCGTGAGTAAATATGCATTATTGCACAACTTTCTCTGTGCCCCTGTTTACAAGGGCAGGCCCAGAACACTTTGTTTCCGAAAATGCTGATTCAGCCGTTTGCAGCCCCCGAGGTTCAGAAATGGTGCTCTATTTAACGTTTCGCTCAGTTTTACTAAGAACACATGTTGGTAGCGCAGCAACAGGCGTTGATCGGGGGTTTATGGCACAGAGCTGGTGATTTTTCGCCAGAGTGACCCAGCGTCCCCCTCTCTCTTTCCAAGAGGAGAAATAGGAAGAAGCCAGGTTTCTGTAGAGGAAGATGTGACTTACGGCAAAGGTGAGGTGTCTGGGGTGGGCGCGGGGTATGTTATTAAGGAGAACCTGAAAGCAAATGTGTTTCCAGGAATGATTCTAAATGACTGTTGTTTTGTTTTTTTCCTGTGAAAAATCTGAACTCTAGGATTACTGCACATGATACTTGAGTTTTATTGGGAACACTTGAAAGAGAAGGGCCACACAGGCCAATCCCCAGATTACAGGGAGGGAATGTGAGGACAGACAGAGTTACACACCCTGTGCGTGGCCTCTTGTAACTGAGAAGCCTAGCGCCTGATAGGCCTGTAACGTTTCACAGTGTAAGAGACTTGTTAGAAGCCTCCTTGCTTTCGTCCTCGCTGCTGATCCCCGTTTTGCAGGTATGGAAACTGAGGCTGCTGACCCCGTTTTACAGGTATGGAAACAGGCTCAGGAGGTTAATTGGCATGCTGGGGTCACATGGCCGGCAAATGATGGAGCTGTCACCGGGACCTAAGCTTTGGATTATTATTATTATTATTTTTTAGTCCTGTGTGTTTTATGCTTCTGCATGAGTCCATCTGCCTCTGAAAGAGAGAAGTGGTCCAGAGGAGGTTCCTCCTTCCAGCCACACATCTGGAGAAGTAGGAGGCTCTGTTACCACTCAGGGGGCTCCCCACCTTCCAGATTTCTGTCCTGTTGCCAGACCTTCCACTTCTGTACATTTATTTTGGGAGGAAACTTTGATGTCAAGAGTTCGATAGGGCAAGTTCTGTTTACGGGAATTTCAACAGCGTTTTAATAAAAGCTGTGCATCCCTAGAAGTCATCAGTTGCCCTTTCGCCTGTGGTCTGTACCACTTTTGGGCCAGTGTTGGGCTGGGCAGAATGCCTTACCTTTGTTAGCCGGGAACCCAGAGCGGGGCGGGTTCATGCCAGCTCCTTGTCTAGGGGTTTATTGGTGGTGGCCGTCAGGATCGGAACCCAGGGCACCCCCAGTGACTGCCCCACTGGAGAGAGCCGAAGTCAGAATCTGTGAGCACAGAACTTGGATTTTGACGGGGTGGCTGGTCTGAGACTTGACAAGGTACAGAAATCAAACTCCTGCTCGAACAGAGGCAGCTTTTGTGCCTTGGGCTTTGCCTCAGAGCTGTAGAAGAAATTCTGGCTTGGTATATCTGATAAAAGCAAATGCTTTGAAGGTGGCCTAATTTAAGGAACCTATTTTCTTGGAATTCTATCCGTCTCTGCAGGGGAAGAAAAACCCACACAGTGGTAGGATGTTTTTGAGCCAGGGTCAGAACTCAGAGCAGAGGGGTCTGTTCCATGCGGGGGGGGGGGGGGGGGGGGGGCGGGTAGGAAGCTGGTGCATTTGCCGAGTGTGCAAAATCCCCCTGTCTGTTTCTCAGTCTGTTAAGCCAGTGTGGAATTGCGTGGGTTCGTGGGGGAAAAAATACTTGCCTTGTCTTTGCACTTAAGTAACCAGTCGTGTTCAAAATTTAAATAAAACTTTTTCTGCTAGTGAAGATTTTTTTTTTTTTCTTTAACCTGTCTTTATTTTTTGCTCAACTATCGAATTATGGGAAATTATGGAAGGAATTAAGACAGTGGAGCGACTTGGTGGGTGAGGCTTGGCAGACAGGGCGCTTTGGGGATCTGGTAACCTACGTCTGAGGTCTGCGTGCTAATGGGTGTGCAACGCATCTCATCCTTGAGCGTCTGATCTGTGCTCGTATTTTAGCTGCAGGCTTCTGGGGAGCTGTCTGCTCCCCGCCTTCTCCCTCTGGTGGAGACACCTATCCCTCCACTGCCCTCCCTGGCTTGGAGGAGCTCTGAACTCCTCTCCGTGGAACGGGCTTTTGTCCCTGCTCCTGGGGGTCACGGGCCCTATTAATTGGAAGGACATGAAAGCAGGGGAGCATAAAACCGGCAGCTCCTGGAAGGGCTGACCGCTCTTCCTTAATGATGGGAAGGGAGCTGGTGTGACTGTCCTGTGAGATGGCAACCCAGAGAGCCCTGTCCCGGCGTGACAGAAGGGTGTTGCAGAGGCAGAACCCGGAGCGGTTCGGACTTTCTGCTTTTGGGGTTCACCCACTCCGAGGGGATCTCCCTTTTTGCCCGTGCCGTGGCGGAGATGGCCTTGAGACTAAGGGGAGCCTCGCTGGCCCTATGTCCGGGTGGAAACAGGATGCCTGCCGGGTTCATCACCACTGGATGCCACTGGCGAAACTAGAATATTATTACTATTTTTCAGCCGTTGCATTCATATATGGACTTGACAGAGACCTTCCTTGATTGTTGCGATGCTCGATTTGAGGACTGGTTTGGGCCGGAGCCGCCAGAGTGGACGGTGTGTTTTGGCACCTCCTTTGGGAACGGGTGCTGGGGAGGAATCCCGCTCCCTTTCTGCTCTGCGCAGGGGAGTGGCCCGTGCTGACGTTCGCACGAGGACTGCTGCCCCAGTTTGACCCCGGGATCTCCTACTTCCTGGTGCTGCGAGCCTGCTGTGAGCCTGAGCAGGTTAACTAAGCTCATCGGTAAAACGAGAGCCAAAGGTGTGTTTACCGGCAAGGGCTGTTGGAGTTGTGTGACCCTCCGCGTGGTGGGTGACGCTCAGCGAGAGCCGGGACACGCCGCTTCTGTGCATACTCAGCCTTGCCTTTGAGTAGCTTGTGTGCTTGATGATCCTGCTTTCTATTAACCCACAAGGTCTGCTCGAAAGAGGCCTCCGCTTCTCATCCCTTTGCCTGCTGGTGCTTGGCGCGTGTTCGCTGCACCAAACCTTGTGGAACAACGGCCCATAAGCTGCTTTGAGCACCAGTCCCTGTAAGGATCCTTTTCTGGCCTGTAACACAGCGGCGGGAGCTCCTCACTGGTGGGGTTCCAAGAGTAAAGGTGGGTGGTGGAACGTAGATCTTACCTGGGGGCAAAGCGATTGCCCCGGGTGATAGTGAATAGCAGGCATCTGCAGCTGGTTCCCCGGGACCAGAAGGAGAGAGGCGCAGACCGGGGAGGTGTGCAGGCTCAGCTGGGCTGCAGGGTGAATGCAGGGAGACCCCTGGCCTCAGGCATGCGGGGCCAGGTGGCATCTATTCTCAGGACTCCGAGGTTGGTTGGTGTCTGGAGTCTACAGGGACACTTAGCCCGGCTGGGGCAGAAATGAGCGTGGGCCCTTGGTCCTGCCGGGCTGACCGTGCCCCTGGGAAACGGCTCTGCGCGCTGCCCGAGGGCTGTGCCGGTGGGCGGCCCTGCCTCTCCCTGAGTCCTGGCTGGGTTTCCGAGCCGGGTCAATGGGCCCGGGCACCAGCCGCTGCAGTCTTGCCTAGTAACGTGGGCTCCAGAAGCACTTGGCTTGGAAAGAGCTTGATGTGTGCTGGCCCTCAGCGTTGCATCATTATTGCCCTTTGGAGCAGACCTGGCAGCTGGGACCCTTCCGTGTCATTGTCACCACAAATAGAACTGCAAGGTGACCGTGCTCTGTCTGGCCCCGTCTAGAGCTATCAGGTGCACCACACTGGGGGGCCTCTGAAAATACAGAACCGTGGGTACCTTTTCTCTCGTCCTGTCACGTGGGGGCCACCAGTGAGGACCTCCCGGGCTACTGACCGACCACAAGTCACCTGGATCCCTCCTGAGATGCTTCTCGGGTTGCAGAGACCCTGCGGGCGCTCACGTCTCTGATGAGCTGGGCCTTTGGTTTGCTTCTTTATTCTCTTGCCTGTCAGCCCTGGGAGTGTCTTCTCCCCACCATTTTCGAGTCGAGACCGCCCCTTGATGTGCAGACTTTTCTCAGGTCACGTATCTAATAGTGGTCATTTTAGGAATGCCTGCGTCAGAAGCTCATAGTGATCGGAAAGCTGCTACGAACTGAGGAACTTTTAAGTTCCGAAGTTTGTATGCTAGCCTCACGCGGACAGGAGGGCTCCTTTGGTTGAAGGACGACACCTTGCTCCATATCTGGGGTCCGGCTTGGAAATCTTGCCACCAGGTGGGAGGTTGAGCTGAGTGATATGGAGGGCCGGCTCAGCGTCCCCTGTGGCCCAGCTGCAGGCTGTGGTGTGTTCCCCAAGAGCCTTCAGGCTGCTTTTCCTAGGATGCTGTCCTCTCTTCTCCAAAATTCTGTGGACCTCGTGGAAACCCGGCTAGGATGTTTCTAGAGAAATATGAAGATGAGACTGCAGCCTACATCTCCTCAGTAGCATGTGGGAGCTTTGGAGGAAGGATATGGCAGGACGGGGCTCCGTGCCCCCCACTTGGACTGTGTCCACACCGCAAGCCTGGCCCTTCTCCCCACCCTGCAGCCTGCAGGGCTGTGGTGGGCGCAGGCAGCCTCCCCAGGTAGGGCCCCATCCCCTGCTCTCCTGGCCTGCCCCCCATGCAAGTTCCCTCCATTTGCAGTGTCCCCCGGCTTCCTAATCCCTCAGCACCCAGGACAGACCGTTGTTAAATTTAGTTGGATTTTGTAATTAGAATGATCTATGTGTATAAACAGCTCCCCAGAAGTAACCAGGCTTAGTTTTTTTCTGTACATATTTATCCATATTTCTAAGCAGATGTCTCCCATTTCTCATAGGATTCTTTGACTTCCCTGCTTGGAAGGTGAGGGGTCCCGTCCCCCATCTGTCCCGTCCCTGCCCTGCCCTTGTACATCCTGTCTCCCCGCTGACTCTTCTGGCGAGGTGGGCTGGACCATCACGCACTGCTGATGCTCTGGGGGCTGAGCCGTGA